ATACAGAAATAGAAACCAAATTCCGTCTAAAGGACGGTACAACAAATGTCTCATTCAAATCCAAATAAGTACCAGACTTTAATAATAACCTAAATATCTCAATTGCCTCAACTTCGACCTTCTTGCCATCACCTACAAAGATGTATCTTTCACCATCATTTGGCTTTCGGCAGCCCTGCATGGATACACCGATGTGAGTGGTTGCACCAGAATCCATCCACCAAGTATATTTAGGTACTGAAGTCAAATTAACCTCAGAACAAACTAGATTAAGAAGTGTACCTTTCTTTGCACGCCAAGCATGATAGTTGGTACACTGTTTTTTCTTGTGTCTCGCAGCTCCACAGAAGAAACAACCATCAACATTCTTTTCTTTATATTGTTTCTTTGGATATGGAACCTCTGCAGCTTCTTTATCCTTCTTTCTTTTCTTCTTTTTATCCTTGGAAGTACCAGCCAAATGAGCACTTTCGATCTTTTCTTGCTTTAGCCTTTCTTCTTCTTGCACACAATGTGAGATGAGCTCATTAAGAGACCAAGTCTCTTTTTGGCAATTGTAGCTCACCTTAAATTGACTAAATTGTGTGGGAAGAAATATCAGAACCAAATGCACAAACAAATCCTCAGAGAGATCAAGTTTATGTGCTCTTAACTTTGAAACGAGATGAGACGTTTCCATAATGTACTCCATAATGTTCTCATTACCTTTGTATCTCATTGAGATGAGATTTGTCAAAAGTGTACTTATTTTAGACTTTTCATTCTTGGCAAATCTATTCTTAATTTCTTCTAGGAACTCTTTGGCTGTCTTTATCATTTCGGATATTGTGCCCCTGAATGCTTCTGGACTTAATGATCATCAAACACATGCGATTTGACTTCTCCCACCTTTCAATATCCCTCTTTTCATCAGAGGAACTTTCATTAGTAAGAGGTGCAGGAGAAAGAACCCTTAATGCAAGGTCCAGATCCATGACACCAAGAACTATATGGAGGTTCTCATGCCATGTCTTTAAGTTTGTGCCATTTAGCATAGGAATAGAATTAATGTTGGCATTAATGTTAGAAGCAGAAATAATAGCTGAATCAGAGGACAACAAACAAGTAAAACAATCTCAAATAAGCCTCAAAACAAAAATAAATTCAAATAAAGGCAAATCTCATCTCAAGATATCATACACTCTATTAATATTTTATCTTTGGATAAAAAAATATTAACTTGTAAGTGATATCTTGGTGTAGTAATCAAACACTGATAATAAGAACATATCGAATAATAAATCTTCCTCTGGGCCAATTTATTATTTATATGTAAAACCAAATAATTATCACGCGTTTATTACCATAGGTGTGTGCATGCAATTCTGTTAAATATAAATTTTCCTTTGGGCCGATTAATATTCACATAAGTTACATGCACATGATCTTGTTATATTTTAAAATAAAACTTAATTCTCACAAAAGAGATCACTTTGGTGACATATTGTTTCAATTAATTTATCTCAAAATATATATATTTAAACACCTATATTTGAATGTAAATTTGCGTAAATGCACTTTAACTTTAAGATATTTACATTTAAATAATCAACCTAATTTATAACTTTGTCTTGCCTTAATGGTGGTCAGGTGCAGTTTTCACATGGGAGATCCGGGAATCAAATCACAAGTCTTTCTGTTTTAAACAAAACCAGTAAATATATAGAAACAAAACACTTGACCAAGATTCAAACCACAGACCTCACATCCCAGCGGTGCAATCCTATGCAAAAGATGCCATTGAACCAACGCACCATTTGTGACTAAATGTGTCTAAATAAATTTAAAAACTATATGCGTAGTATGAATGCAAACCAAACGACATCATTTAGGTCTTCTTCCTCACAAATCCGGAACCAAAAAACACAGAACAGAACAGTGATTGATTCTACATTTCCACTTTAACTTTAAAAAAAAATCGTATAAAATAAACCGTATGTCCAAAAATTATGAAATTTATATCGTTGGACTCGTAATGAGATGTAGAATTTTTCTGTTGTAAAATATTTTCAGAAATATTAAACTTTTCGAAAAATATTTTCGGCCCTAAAAAAAAAACTTTTCCTAACTTATTCTCAACAATTCAACATGAAATGGCTCTGATACCACATGTAAGATTAATTTCATTATGTGAAAACCATCACACAAACAAGAACGTTCATATTGAATCATCAAGAATTAAAATATTGAATTTGCAAAAGTGTACCTGAATCTATAACAAAATATTGTAATATTCGAGTCTAAGGCTTTATAATCTTCCAGATCTACACTTATTGTCTGAGGCTTTATGATCTTTCAAATCTATACTTGTTTTCTGTCTAAATTTCTCTCTAACAATAGGAATCAAAAGAATAGAAAAATGTAGTGTGATCTGGGGACCATGACCCTTATTTATAAACAATTATGTCTGTTTATAAGCAATCACGTCTTTTCGTAATTTCTATTTTAACCCATCATAAAAATAAAAATTACGGTTGTTTCTACACATTAATGCCCACACTTTATAATATATTAATTAAGGCCCCAAAACTTAAATTAATCACTTTAATTAGCCTAACTTTATTTGATAGCCTATAATTCACATTTATTTAATATATAAGCCCACATATTTAATTTTACTCCAACAAAAGATAGTTGTGAGAGAGATGTTTTTCTATCATGTGTAGATGACTTACAATTTATAGGCACAGAGTCCTAACTGAGACGGTGATGTAAAGGTCACACTATTAATCTTTCGGGGATGATAACTACAATTAATTATATGTGCTATCTTTAAGCAATGACTATCCCGATGTTTACTCCCAACGTACGTCGATTTTACTGAACTCTTGAGTTTTGAACTGAACTGAAGCCATGAACTAAGTTTGATTTGTCTTTTGATGGTTTTGACTTAACCCATAAACTAGGCTCAGGCCTGGTCGAAATCTAGGTTCATCAATATGTTAATACATATATCTATCTATTATATCACCATTATAATTGCCAATAGTTTTTATTTATCTCCATTCAAAAAATAAATTAATTAAAATTTTAGAGTAGGTACAAGTTGATTTTTCAGTTTATTGAGCGAAATGAGAGAAATTAAGAAATTTAAAGATTTACATTTGGGTAGAGAAATGAGGTGGAAAAAGTAAATTAATTTGGAGGACCGCGTTAAATTTAGTGAGATGAACTTTGAAGATTTAAAGGGCAGAAATAATCCTACCATTGTTGGGTTATGGTGCTTCTACGTCCTGAAAGATACACAAGGACAAACTGCACCGCTTTGGCCTTCCATGCCTATTTCATCCTACAAGCTGTGGAATACGGTGACCAAGTCGAAGGCTTGCGTGCTTGTCATCATTGTTATAACATGAAAACCAATAGAACAAAAGTTTTAGATTCCAACATCAGACATGACATCAACAACAAAATTGATCATGGTTTAGTTCACAAAAGTCCAATAAAAAAACGACGGGAATAGTATAAATCGGAATCTATTACTATCTATCTTATTTATCAAACTTATTTATTAATCTACTGTCATTTTCAACTTATTTATCAAACTATCGTTATTTTAAAAGCAAATTTGACAAATCCAATTTCACGGGGAAAGCGGATTTGACAAATCCGACTTCATTTGAAAAACAGATTTGACAAATCCGACTTCATTTGGAAAGCGAATTTGACAAATTCAACTTTATAGAGAAAGTGAACATATCAAATTTAATTTTATTTAGAAAGTAGACATACAAAATCCGTTTTTTAATATTTCATCTAATTTTTTTACTGGGATACCACCCGAAATTCTTAACTTTATATATTTTCTCCCTAAAAAATAAATCACTCATTTTTATCATATATTTAATTATTTAATATTTGATTAATTTATAATTAATATATTTTTAAAAAAATTAAAATAGTGGGATCAATATTTTGGATGCTATAACTAATAAATTTAGATAGAATCTATTAGTGGATTTTTAACGACTAATAAATGTGAGTAATTTATTCACAAAGAATATAGAATAAAAAAGATCAAACGTATTCAATAAATAGTCAAATACTCTTTTGGCGATCAACACAATTATACATATAAAGACTTGCACATTGGTAAGTCTGCTTTCCATATAAAGGCGAATTTAGTATGTCCGCTTTCCATAGAAAGACGGATTTGGTATGTCCGCTTTCCCTATGAAGTCGGATTTACCAAATCCGCTTTCCAAATGAAGTCGGATTTGTCAAATTCGCTTTCCCTATGAAGTTGAATTTGTTAAATTCACTTTTAAAACAACGGTATTTTGGTAAGTAAGTTGAAAGCGGTAATAAATTGATAAATAAGTTTGATAAATGAGATATATTGGTAATAGATTCTATAAACCGCAGTTGGCCTCAAATCAAATCCTTTAGTATCATTTGATGCCTTTTTTTTTTTTTTTGAGTTCTTGTTTTTTCCAACTTCTGGAAAAAAATCTAGCATTTGGAAAAAAAGCAATGTTATAGGAACTTTATTTGAGGATCTAATGATGTGATTTTAATGTAATTATTGGATTAGTAGTGAATTCCAATATTAAATGTAATCCACAATCAATCTAATAATTATATTGAATTAGGTCTTTAAATTAGATCTCTAAATTATGTCCAAATTGTATTTTCCGTTTTAGAGAAAAGTTGTGAAGGCTGCAAGAGTGACCTTTTCAAAATGTACTCGTCCTTTATGTCCACTTTCTTATATTTACGATCCATAATATTAAACAAATAAAAATAAAACAAACATCGATATTATATTATCACACATAGGGCCTCAACACACTAAGCTCCATTGAAAATCTAAATATTTACGATCCATAATATTAAACAAATAAAAATAAAACAAACATCGATATTATATTATCATAGGGCCTCAACACACTAAGCTCCATTCAAAATCTAATTGTTGGAGTTTCTGAATTTTTCGAACGTAGTGTGACATACACCTCCATTCAAAACTCACCACCTCTATTGTTAGCCCTTTGCTCAGCCTCTCTCTGCATTCCTAGCATCCGAATCCTAAGCTGAAGCTGAGTTGCGGCAGCCAAGAACTTCACATTCTGGATTGGATTTAGTATTTTCACCACACTCTCCGTCGCCGTCGTCCTCAACATATCCGCCGTGTGAAGCACCGCCTCCATCGCCATCCTCAACATCTCAATCACCGAGTCCACCTCCTGAGCCTCCCCATTCATGAGTTTTCGCCCCGCCCGCCTCGCTAGCTCCACCACCGGCGGCGCTGCGACGCTTTCCTGAATCTTAGCCAACTTTTCCATCAGCGTTTTCTCTTCCATTTTAATCACAGCCTTCAATAGCTCCATTTTCCGAATCTGATCCTCCGACAAGTCATCCACCGAGTTCATCCCCAGCCGAATTGCCAATCCGGGTTTGAACCCGGCAATCCAAAAGAAAGATCTCTCGAAGTGACTGAACCAAGTCGGCGAGAACGCGAGGAACACGTCCCGGTTGACTAGTTTTGATTTTTCTTCGTAGTAATCTTGGTAGTGAGTGAGCACTCGAGCAATCAGATCTCTCAAATCATCATCGCGAAACTCGTGACAATTTTCAAGCACCGTGAGGAGTTCGTCAAGGTAGTGTTCTTGACGAACCTGCCAGCCCTCCAAGAATGACTCGAATGAATTCGAATTGTTACTCATTTCGTGCCTCCCTGTTCTTTTTTTTTTCATTCAAGGGATGAAAGAGGAAGAGGGCGGTGTTTGTGGGTGTGGAGGCTTGAATTTATATGGGTTTGGGACTCGGTGAGATATTTAATTTGCTTTGGTAAGAAAGTAATTATGTGGAAGCTTTAAGCGGAAAGTTTCAATTGCAATGCCGGCATACAAGTGGGGATCGGCATGCAATACCAGTCGGTAGTGGACAAACGCAACCAACGAGACCACGCGCGACATGGGTGTGAGAGAGCACCACCCATTATCAGAGCTTTTAGGAAGTTGTGTGTGTTTTGATAGAGGGAATAAACTGGTGACCGGTGTTTCTCTCTCATAACTACCACCACCGACTCAAAACTCCGAGAAAGAGCGTGGATAGAGAGAGGTGTTCGGTGCTTTTCGTCGCCAAGTGAGAAATTGTTTTATTCAAGTGGGGAGCACGTTTTTTTTTTCCAGGACAAGGAGGGACTTGTCGTTAGCGGATGTCAGCCTACAGTATTTTGTAGATAGAACCGAAAATATAAATAACGGGAAAATACCGAACTACATAAAATATCAGCGTGATCTTTGTCGTTTTGTTCCAGTCTGTCTTCCCTCTAACAACCTGATTTTTTTTTTATTTTTTTTCTCTGTAAACATTATGAATCAAGACGCCTGAGGAATGCTACAGGACCTATTTGAAGAGTTAATGATGTACCTCTAATACAATTATTAAATTAATTATGTATTTTAATATTAGATAAAGTTCACAACTAATCTATTAGTTGTACATCATTAGGTCTTTAGATTAAATTCTCAAATTAAGTTTAAATAATATTTTTTCTATATATTTTGTCTTCAATTCTCGTATTTTTAATTGATGGGGATTAATAAATCTCACTTGAATACATAGATAATCTCTTAAGAAAAAGAAATAAAAATTATATTAGAGGGGATTATACAAAAATTGTAATGGTACTAAGAGTAGTTTCAATTAAGGATAAATTAAGAAAGAATAAATTGTCATTTTCAATGGAAGACAATAGAAGCACCGGTTAAAAAAAAGTGATAGAATTTCTTTTAATAGTACTAGGAGTATGGATAGATTTATTAAATTAACATTGAACGAAATAATAAAAATATATATATAAATATTTAATTTAAATGAATGTATAATACATTACCGAAATAAATGGCGAATGACGACTTAAGATATAAAATCTGGTTTGATTGATTGGCTGGAAAACAAATTACTCTTACAGTTGAAGCCTATTGGCTGGCTGTTTTTTTTTGAAAAAATTAAACTAGTCGTCCGTATGTTAGTTCTACAATATAATTTCATTTGGAATTACATTCAATTTGTGATAATTAGCAATTTTTGTGAAAAATATCTGGTCATAGTTTTTGTTATTAGAATGAATTTTTGGTAAATATAATCTTATATGTATGTGTCCATGACATTGTGTTGATTGATATTGTGTGTTAATATGAAGTCAAAATAACTATTAAAACAAAAAAAGATTTCCCTATTTACCAATTATGAAGAATTGGCTCAAGGTTGATTTTTTTTTTTTTTTCACATGAGCTTATGGACTTGTTTGAATGCAAACAAGCTTTTTAAGTTTAGGTTAGAGCTAATCTGAGATAATTTTTAGATTTAATGTTCAAATCTAATTCATCTTAAGTTAAAGAGTAACATTATTTGGACAAAAAAATATTGACAATATTTAATTACTCCCAACATCACTTATTTAATTGTGAGTCTCAGTATTTATTAGGACTTATTATCTATTAAATAATTGTGATGGAGGAAGTCAACACATGTTGTCAATATTTTTTATCCAAATAACATTTCTTTAAGTTAAATTTGAGCGAGCCCATTTAGAATAAAGTTAAATTCGAAAGAGGTTAAGTCGAGCTCAAAATTATGAGTAAATATTGAAAGTAATAGTGATACGGCATTTATGATTATCACATTGTGTAATTATTTAATAATAAATTTATAAGTGGACTAGTCATTGCTCGGGTCCTAACCCATAAAAAATTGCAAGTAATTGTCTATTTTGAAAAAGAAAGTGAGTCTCATACCAATTATTTTAAAATGACCCAAAATACATTGTCAATCATATCATTCATATTAATAGAACTATCCCAAAAATGTATAAAAAAAATTTCCTAAAACAATATCACATATACAATCACCTTGGAAAAAAAATACAAATAAAATCTAATAAAATTTATAATTTTTAAGTAATAAATAAAATTTTACTCATTTCTAAGACATATGAATTTATCACCATTCAATCGAATAACACAGTATAATTATAAATTCAATTGTTTGTTATTTTTTTATTGCAATTAACTTGGACTTTGAATTTTTTTTTTTTTTTTTGGGTGCAATTGGTATCATTTTTTTTTTATTGGTAATTACCTTGGTTTTGATTTTTTTTGTTTTTTTAGTGCAACTTGACTTTGCATGTCTACAACTTGGAATTTTCTTTTTTAACATTCAAATATTTTTTCATTCTATAAAATTACTCAAATACTTGGTTTTATTATTTTTTTTATCGGTGATTAGCTTGAGTTTGAATGTCAACGACTTGGAAAAACAAATTTATAGTTGATTGTAAATATTTTTTTTTGGTGCAGTTGGTTTCATTAATTTTTTTTATTGGTCATTGTTGTTTTTTTATTGGTAATTAGCTTGGTTTTGAATTTCTTTTTTGTCTGTGCAATTGGTATCACTTATTATTTTTTTATTGGTGATTAGCTTAGTTTTAAATTTTTTAGTTTTTATGATTAGTTTGATTTTGAATGTCTACGAATTTTTTTTTAACATTTAAATATTTTCTCCTCTATAAAATCATACAAATGTATGACTAAGAAGTACCGAAAATAACAATAGCATATTTCATGCATAACAATTAGCAATAATAAAATTATGTCAAAACTGCAAACTTTGAATAAAAATGCACCAAAAATAACAATACACATTTAACACACAACATTCACTCACAAAAGTAAATGAATGAGATAGAGAGAGTGTGTATTTGGGAGATTGTATTTAAAACATATAAGAGATAGGATATATATATATATTGTATTTTAAAGAGATATGAGAAAGAGAGAGAAAAAGAGTTATATGAGAGATTTAGAGTTATAAAAGAAATGAAAGCCCAATTAGAATCGTCAAATCAATAACTCTCAAATAATCTGATCCGCGAATAACTTAAGACAAACAATTTACCTACTTTATTATGTAGATAAAGTGACCTTTACTAATTCAATGTGTTCTTTTTAGATGTAGTGATTATGGTGGGTAGGAGTGTTAAACGAGTGACGGGTAGAAAATATATAAACCTGTACACGACATGTTTAATAAACGGGTAAAAAATCTCAACACGAACACGATCACGACTCGTTTAACCCGTTTAATTTTAAAAAAAAATTATATTAACAAATTTTAATACTCTATTTTTTTTTGTCAATTGCACTTACCTCAAAAAATATGATTTTTTAGCTAAATCTCATAAAAATAAGAGTTGAAGACTTAAAAAAAAAAAAAAAAGAGGTCATTGTTTTTTATAAGCCACTCAACCCTCCCCATCTCCCCTCATTTTTTAATGTAGGACAAAAATAAAAGGCATTGATTTGCCTTTGTTTTTGAAATGCTCCTTATCTCATCTCTTTTATTTTTGAATTACTACTTTACTTTTTTTTTTTTTATTAATTTCTTTACTTCTTTGTTTTTTTTTTGCTAATTTTTTAAAATAATTATTAATTTATTATTATATTAATTTTATTTAAACGGGTTGACTGGTCTCACTTGAACACGACCCGTTTATTAAATGTGTTTAGTATGTCAATCCGTTTATCACCTAAACCCGTTTAATTCGTGTCGGTTAATCGTGTCGTATCGAATTTTGACAGCCCTAATGGTGGACTTTAATTTACCCACTTATAGGTAGGCTTGTCAATCAAAATTCGATCTGATTAATCATATGGTTTGATATTTTTTTATTGATAACTCGAATTTGTTACTATCTTATATTTCATAGATTTAAATTTGTATTTGGATATACCTATATCCAATTTAATCTGAAAATATGTATATATTTATGTATAAATATTAAAGAATTTAAGTAATTATTTAAATAAATTTAGATATAATTTGTTAATTTTTAGTTAAATTAAGTTATTTGAATTAAATCAGATTATCAACGAATTCGAATATGAACTATGAAAATAAAATCCATCGAATCAGATTCGAGTCGGACTTTTGAAATTGGATCCGAATTTACATCAATCAAAATCCGATTGTATTATTTGCAAGTCGTTGTATGAGAGTCATCATACCACAACTATTATGCACTCCCTCTAAATAGAAGTGTCGAATCGTTTGTTTTTTGTTTTTACAAATAGTTTTAGCTGTGATCAAGTTTTCCACTACCTTGAGTTTAATAATAATTATAAAGAATCATCTGAATGAATAATTTGTAAAGCCCTTTTTAATAAATAAGAGGAAAATTCAACTCAAATTTTGGCTGAGGCCCTAACCAGAGGGAAATAACAAAAGAGACGGCAATCCATTAGGGTACATAGGGGTATTCACCCTATCCTACGGGTATGAAATATACTTTTTTGCCTTCCTACCAGATATTTTGTGAATTTTTTTTTTGGTCTATCCTACCCGATCAGGTATAGTATTCATACTCGATTAATCAGTTAAGAAATCGAGTAAACACTTTTATAACTTTTTTTTTTGTTTTTAAGAAAACAGTAAGGAAATTTTTTTTATTTATAATTCTGCAAGGAAGGAAGAACCTTTTTTCAATAGCACTTCTCTTTCCCCCCAAACTGATCAACAAAAATTCAGCACAAAGAGAATAGAACTCAAAGTTAAAAGTGCACATATTATCATCAGTGTAAAACTAATGAGAAAGAATCCACAAGTTCTTCTATTAATCCATTTGACAGGTTGACAGAGAGGTTGGTTGTTTTTTTTTTTTTTTGCAACCAAGTGATTGTGACTCGAACCAGACGATTCGTGAGAAAGCAAGGTCACAGAGAGAGAGAGAGATCGTGATCAGACCACACCACACCACATCACAATCAGATTAGACCGGACCACACCAGAGGAATGCGCGATCAACCAGGCCAGACCACACCAGATTGCGTAAACAGAGAGAGAGAAAGAGAGAGAGTACCTGGAATCGGTACTAAACGATGATGGAGGAAAGGAGTAGTGGAGTGAGGTGTGAGGCGCTCTCAAGACTCAGTAGAC